TTGAACAAACAAATTCAAAACCATTAATAGCTAATCATAGATGATTTGGTATGAATGCTACTAAAAAGTCAGTTATAATATTATAATAATGGCTATTAATCATGGGTAGTAAAGGATAATGTATTTGTTGCAATTTATTTTTGAGATAAAAGAATTATTTTCTAACAATCCCCCATATATCTCAAAAATAATTTTAATGAATAGAACGAAATAAGAAGTTTCGCTGGGTTTTCACAAAATGAGCATAATGCGTCGAATCTGGTGTCACTTGGACTATGAACCAGACCTAGATAAAATAAAATTAAACTTATAGAACAAATGGTGAAGTTTAGAACTTCTATGAACCAAGAATTCTTTTGTAAGTTTAGTGTCTTATCTATCACATTATACCCGCACACACTTTGTTGTTTGTCACGGTTTTGCGCTAATAGGCCATGCGCGCACCTGGTTTTCATGAGTGCTCTAGAAATATTTTGCCATAAATTGCATAGGAGCGGCCCCACTCCATACTCATATAGGTCCATCCATCAAGTGTACTCTGCAGCACAATACACCACCTATAAAAGGCTATGGATTAGATTAAGACTTTAATAACTCAGCCTCTCATTCCTTGCAGTCTAGCACTATATACACACACCATAGGAAGGGACAAAATTTAATATTGCATATTTAATCAACTTATTACTTGTTATTACCCATATGAACCTAATTCATGGGATCTCGAATCACATAGGTTGGGTTACCATCACTGTTGATATAACTCAAATTGGCAATAGTTACATTCCCTTCGATGTTTCAGATATTAATTTTCTTCCCAAAGGTTTAGTCAGAGGATCGGCCAAATTCACTTCTGACTTCACATAATCTATGGATATAATTCCATCTCTCAGCAGCTGCTTTATCATATTATGTCTCAATCGGATGTCTACTCTTCCCATTGAAGGATTTATTTTTAGCAATGGCTATTGCAGCTTGGCAATCACAATGCATCGACACAGAAGGTGTCGGTTTTATTCCTAGTGGAATACTTCCCAAAAGGTTCTTTAACCACTCGGCTTCATTGCCAGCCAATTCCAATGCCACAAACTCAGATTCCATGGTAGATCTAGCTATTATTGTTTGTTTAGTTGATTTCCATGCCACAACACCCCCACCAAGGGTGAACACATAACCACTAGTGGATTTTGTCTCATCTGAATCAGAGATCCAGTTAGCATTACTGTATCCTTCTAGTACAGTGGGAAATCCACTATATTAATACCATAGTTCATGGTACCTCTCAAATATTTCATTACTCTTACTAATGCATTCCAATGATCATGACCCGGGTTTTGTGTATATCTACTTAATCTACACACAGCATAAGCAATATCAGGTCTAGTAAATTCATCAAATGCATTAGACTACCAATAACTTGAGCATATTTATTTTGATCTACAACATCTCCTTTATTCTTTTTTAATTGACTACTAGCATCATAAGGAGTGCTTACAGGTACCACATCAAAACAATCAATTTTTTTAAGAATTCTTTCAACATAATGTTCTTGAGTCAACATCAAGCTATTGCCTCTTATAATTTTCATGTCTAAAATAACACTAGCTTCTCCCATGTCTTTCATCTCAAAATTAGAACACAAGGTTTTATGTACCAAATCAAGACTGGAACTAAAAATAAGCATGTCATCCACATAAAGACAAATAATAACACATGTACCATCTACATATTTTGTATAAACACATTTATCTACTTCAATTGATGAAAAAACCATCATTAATCAATACTTGATCAAATTTTTCATGCCACTGTTTAGGTGCTTGCTTTAGACCATACAAAGATTTTAGCAATTTACATACTTTGTTTTCTTGGCCAGACACTATACAACCCTCAAGTTGCTCCATGTAAATTTTCTCTTCTAAATCACCATTTAAAAATGCAGTTTTAACATCCATTTGGTGAATAAAAAGTTTATAAATAGAAGTCAAGGCAAGTAAAACACGAATTGAGGAAATTCTAGTTACATGAGCATAAGTATTAAAATAATCAATATTTTGCTTTTGAGTAAAACCTTTTGCAACAAGTCTAGCTTTGTATTTATCAATAGAACCATCTGGATTGAGTTTCTTCTTAAAAACATTTTCCAATGGATGCTTGAAAACAAAGCAACTCCATCTCGGCCTTGGCCACTCTTACCATAAGCAGATATCAAGGAAGTCCATGACACAACATCCCGAAACTTCATCCCCTCAAACATTTTCCTTGCCTCTGTCAAGCATCCGCACCAGACATATGTTGGAAAAAATATTGGATATGGAGAATAAGATTTAGCTTGAGGCGTGTCAAGGATACTGTCCTTAAGGATATTTTGCCCATACCGTGATAAATATTATTAGGCGTATCCCCATGATTCAACAAGCTCTTCTAGTATAACTCGGAGCAGAAACAACAAATATCGTATAAAAAAAAATCCAACACAAAAAATATATAGAGAGAGAGTAGAAGTTTTTACTCTTAGTTTTTTTTTCCTTTCAAAGCAAAAGGAACTTGGGATTTTATAGATAAGAAAATAACCATCCTTGCTGAAATGCTCCAAAGTCTATAGCATTGAAAGATTAAAGAATTAATGCGAATGACTGTTACAAAACAAAGCTTACGGGTTTGTAACTTTCAAAGCAACGGATAATGATAATTTGAACAAACAAATTCAAAACCATTAATAGCTTATCATAGATGATTTGGTATGGATGCTAATAAAAAGTCAGTTATAATATTATAATAATGGCTATTAATCATGGGTAGTAAAGTATAATGTATCTGTTGCAATTTATTTTTGAGATAAAAGAATTATTTTCTAACATACATATCAACGAAGGAGTTCTCAAGAGATAAATTTGGCCTAAGACCTTCTCTCTCAACAGATTCATGAATCCTCCTTCCCAACGATGCAGCTGAAAGGTCCCCCACAAGCAGGAAGAATGCTAGCAAAAGTTATAACGTCAGGCTCTATTCCACAAGTTTCCATTTGGAGATAGAGCTCAACCACCTCATTAGGCATAGAATTCTTGACATAATAGCTATCATCACATTCCATTGAACCAAATCCTTTTTATCCATATTCATCATTCATGAAAATATATTTGTCGAACGAGACATTCTCAATGATGGTATTGCTAACAGCAGGTAAAAGGCTAGACATGGTTCCCACGTTTGGTTCCATACCTAGAAAGTTCATTTCCTTACAAACCTCTAAAGCATCATCAAACCTTCCATTTTGAGCATATCCAGCAACCATTGAGTTCCAAGAAACAACGTCCTGTTTGGGCATTTCATTAAGAACCTGACGAGCCTCCACTAGATATCCACATTTCCTATACATGACCACAAGGCAATTCCCAATAAATAGGTTAGAATCGAGACCCCTCTTGCTAATAGTATCGTGAATCTGCAGCCCGGCCCTCAAATTATTGGAGCCAAAACAAGCTTTAAGAACACAGGGAAATGTATAGTGATCAGGGCTAACATCTCGTTTAGTCATATCATTATAAATAAAAATAGCATCTTGATAGAACTTGTTATTCACGTAGCTCCTGATCATGACATTATAAACTGCCACGTCCCTGTCAGGTATTTTGTCGAACAGTTGGCGAATCACATCAGGTTGGCCACAAGTGGCAAAAGCACGCATCAATTTGATGGCAAGAGACGTGTTGCAACATAGACCCGGATCGAGAATGATCTTGGAATGTAGTTTTTTCAGTGTTTTGATATCTGGGGGTCGGTCCAATATATGACTGGAGGAAACTTCGTCTAAATGGAAAGTGTAGCACTGCTGGGGGGGTTTTAGTGTGTGTATATATGGATTGGCAGTTTAATAAGGGAGGAAAAGGCAAAGGGGGCTTGCAATCGGTGACATGAAATATCAGAGTACAACTTTCTTGAAGATTGTTCACGTTCACATAGCTCAGTCATGGGGACTCCATGAATCCTGCATAGAATTGCTTTCTAGTTTAGAGTGGACGACTAAGGAAGAGAGGGAAACAGTTACATTTGGGCCCTATAAACTTTTCTCCCTCCATGAGAACATAAAGCTAGTTCCCATCAAAGAGATGACTGATGTTCTCACGGTTGAATGCGAAGCAGTTGATATTGCCAGAGGTACTTGGGTCAGAATGAAGAGAGGNATCCATGAATCCTGCATAGAATTGCCTTCTAGTTTAAAGTGGACGACTAAGGAAGAGAGGGAAACAGTTCCATTTGGGCCCTATAAACATTTCTCCCTCCACGGGAAGAAATATTGAGGGAAATTTTGAAAGAAGAAACTAATTTATATTCCACCTGTATGCACTCCATGTCCTGAATAGAATGCCGGTTATCTCTTATCAATGTTTAGCTTGACCAGTATTGGAAATGAATTTAGAAGGGGAAAAAATGTAAATTCTTTTTCCAAAATTAATTTTAAAATGTTTAAAAAGATTAAATAAAATAAAAGTACAATAGGATGCAAGACTTTGACGAAATAAGCACTTGCCACTTGACAAAATAGTGGGGTATTAAAAAGATACATAAGGTGTTTACAAAGTTGTTGTGTATTTAGGGGTATGTAAAAGGAAAATCAAAGGAAAGTATGTATTAAGCTTTTTGAAATTAAACTATTTCTGGATGCTCTGAGTAATCTCTCTCTAACGATGGATTTGTTTTCCAGAACCCCTATTATTCTAGTAACTTAAACAAATAAGAGAATCATTTTACCTTGTTTTTCCTATTTCTACTTTAGCTTCTCTACTTTCCAAACAAAGCAAGGAAAAATTATCACTTCTTTTGTGGGTTTACCACATCAGAGTATTATTACATGTTGAGTGAAAACATGCTTATCGACATCTTGCTGTGTACATATGGTTTATGTGCCCTATCCTCACCGTATGAAAGGAAATCAGTGATATCAGTTGCATTTTAGTTGGCTGTCAGTTATGACAACTAACCCTGCTCAATTTCTACATTAATTGAGGAAAACCAGTTTTTGTTATTAACATTTTCCTGTCAGTGCAGGAAATGTTTTCTATATCTACAAAATAATTCAACAAAGTAAATAACATGCTTCGCTTTTCTCTCTAATTAGAGACAACATGCTTCACTCGCTACAACAGTATTCCTCTAATGAGAATCATAGCTAAAATACTGGTGCAACTTGTCATCATCAATCCTGAAAGAGAGCCTTGGAAACAGAAGAAGAGCTCTGTTTTAGCTTTTCATCCTCATCACCAGCATTTTGAGAGAATGACCAGTTCTTTCCACTCATTGGTGTCTCATATACTACACTTCCGTAACCTCTTTTCCGCTCTTTCCTCTTCAGTTCCTTCTGCTCTTCACACTTTGTTTTTACAACATTAAGCTGCTTCGGGGCCCAAACTCTTTGCAGATCTGGCATCCTTGTGAAAGATCCAAATCGTCGAGCCTTCTCTCTCCTATCACGAGCTTCACTTAACTTGCGGGCATGATCCCCCACTTTAATCCCTTGGGAGCTCTCACCAACATCTTCTGGTGGTTGGCAAGACTCATTCTCTGCTGATCGCGTGTAGTTGGCTTCAGCCGTTTCATATCTATCTTGTTTATCCCTCCAAGACTGATTACTGTCCTCACTGTTGAATAGAAGGGACTGTTTTTCATCTTCATCACCAAATGGAAGTAGATCCATTTGTGTGTAGATTCTATTCACAACATCTTCGAGAATGTCCTTGTACCTGAATCATGTGGGGATTTCTATGTTATATTTCAGGTAACAGTACTGCCAGGGCGCTGCATGAGTTTCTTATCTATGAAGAGCAAACAAGAGCCAGTTCTAATAATAACAGCGCGATTGGTTTAAACTCTGATGGCAAAGTCAATGAAACTTGTACACTGTAATTCATGAACTAGGTACTGATGTTAAGCAATGGAGTTACCTGAGAAGTTCAGTGTAACAGACTTTCGTTTTATAGTAAATGAAAAGCTGATCATCCTGTAGTAAATTTACACTTAACATGGTTTTGCTTAAAACCAGACAGGAAAATCCCTAATAGGTAAAGTAGGATTACAAAGTAGAAGACTAATTAAAGTTTCTTAAGAAGAATGAAAGTTCTAAAAATGAGAAAAGTTCATGAAACAGAATGGTAATGTAGTCAAATAACAGCTAGAGCACGATGATGATATCAAAATAGTACTTTGATGGTCTATAGAGCTATAGTAGGTTTAATCTTGAAAATTATCAACTTATCTTGATAGGATAAAGCAAGGAAACAAGGGGAAAAAATTATTGGGGTTGGTGAAATAAGAGGATCGAGAGGACAAAAGTGACCTACTTCTCATCCTGAATTCTAGTCAGGACAAATACCAAAAAGGGAATACAGAAATGAAACTTGCCGTGAGACATGAATCAGATCGTCATAACTATAGAGAAAAACAACCTCTTTATTTCAAAGCAAAATATTTACCGTGTCCTAATATTGCGTTCAACATAATCATAGAGACTAACACGACCATGAATCCCTCCTTCAACAAGGTATTGAATGATCTCTAAAAAGGAGCAGATCTCTTTAACAAGCCTCTGCTTCGATGACTCCTTAATACTCTCCGAAAAGGTTGATCGAAGGATTTCCATCCGAAGCAATATCTGCAATTCAAATCTTATGCACATTAAGGAAAATGCACTAAAGTACAATATTAATTCCTTTACTTGATAAAGCTGAATTTAAGATGTAATAATTCAAAAACTAGTGCTAAAAGAAACTAATGAAAGGATACTCTCGAACAATACTTTCCGAGGTTGAACTGAAATCAGATACTTCAGAGGAGGGATCCTCATGTTTCAGCTTCTCTTTCATTTCTTTGGGCTTTCTTAGCAGGAACTTCATAAGTTCAGGAAGGGCACTTTTGGCACATGAATCACTTGCTTTCGGAATTCGAGATTGGCCTCCTATAGTGTCATCTGTCTCATACTTCTTAGATAATGCATGTACTGATGACTTCACTAGTCGCTCTGCTAAAGTGTGCAAGTCTCTTCCAGATTGTAGACCATGCTGGATTTTCTTTCGTAGATTAGTGAAGAAGGCTTCTGCAGTTTCTGAGTATACCAGAGGTGCATCTCCCTCCAGCATGAGGGTTGAATCAGAGGGAAAATATATAGACGGTGGCTGTTCCAGTTGTATTTTACATGAATCTGCAGCTGTTAGCAAGCAGGTGCTGGTCTTCTTGATCTGTTTCATCCAGCACTTCAAGAATTTCAGCTTCTTTGATTTCTCAATTTGTCTGGCAAAACAAAGCTCTACCAACTCAAAATCATTACACTCAAATGCTGCCTTGAGGAATGAACTCAAAGTCAAATCCCGGGTTGAAGACTTCTTATTCTTTTCTCTTTTCCCGACCCCTAGTGATTCACAATTAGCAGATGTTGAAGACTCGGTTTGGGAGCCAATCAACCCGTGAGAGTCGTTGATTTCATTAGAGCTTCCACAGATCCTGTCATTCATCTGTTTTGAGTTTGATCCACAATTAGCTTCTTCTATGCTTGAAAGAAGAGCCAATTGCGCTGTCAAAGGCCTGAGGACACCCGTTATTGTATTTCCGTTGCTACTAGATAGAGTTACTAAAACCCAATAGCTTTCTTTATACAAAAAACTGAGAAGAATTTTCCACATGACTGTGGAATTTCCTGGGGCATGCTGACCCTTCACTCCAAATAGTACATCAAGGACTCCATCAACGAAAGTATCGCTACAGTATTTAGTTTTGCATCTGGTTGACTCCTGCACTAAAACATAACTAGACGAGCATCCTTCAATTTTTTCCCCTACATTGTACTTCTTCACAGCCTTGAGATGCATCTTTACTGAACCTTCACCAAGACAAGACCAAAACAATTCTTCTCGATCACACCCTTCATTTCGCTTGTCTCCAAAACCTAGTGTATTCAGAATATCTTCAGATCTAAGCCTGGGTAACGTCGTGAAATTGAGCAATTCGAGATCACAAAACTTGCATTCCAAAGGCTTCCCATTGACATCAAGGATCTCAAGATTCAGTTGCGCAGAACTTCTATCAGATGAACCAATGCTTTTCATAAAATCAAATGAGGCCCCAATTTCAGGATATATCAATCCAAATGGAATCAGAGCGGAACCTAAAACAACGGAATTAGTTGAACTAATCCCCCAGCCCAAATTTCTAATTCCACTCTCCAACATGGACGACCATTCACCTTCATCAACAAATTCAACCTTCTCTCCCTCCTTTTTTAAATCATTCACGCCGATCCAACTAAAATGAATACTTCTATTATAGAAAGAGTTCCTCACAAGACCAAAAATTTCATTGAATTTGACCATAAAACCTTCGAAATCCTTAAAAATTTCAGAATTCACATTCACATTCATATACTCAGCTAAATTACTCAAGGATCTACAAATAGGCGAAAACAAAATAACCAAATTTCGATATATCTTAGGAATCTCACCAGTTAACTTACCTGGAGGACTCTCAATTTCAGACTCCCAAGCATAATCATTTACTAGCTGGAGAAGAGAACCGGAAGTGTGACAAGCCCTACGATAATTTGCCTCTAATTCGATTGGCAGCAGCGAGAGGGAATTTAGGATTTCAGTGATGGAATTTAGGGTTTGAGACGGGTGGTTGAAAGCGAGGGAAGCGACGGAGAGGTTCGGGAACAAGCGATTAACGGCGGAGGAGGAACGGAGAGGGGAAAGTGAGGAGAAGAAAAGTTTGAAAGCGAAAAGCGAGTTGGAGAGAGATGGGAAAGTGAGGAGGCGCGTGGAGGTCACGAGAATGGAGGTGAGGTAGTGGTTGCTAGGGTTTTGAAGAGTGAGAAGTGGGTGCAGATCTATGAGGAGCACTATCCTTTGGGTTTTCGAGTAGTCTACAGGTTCCGCCATTGATGCAAATGCAGAGTACTAACTTGCGCCGTGTGTGTAACGGAGGGGCGTATCTCTATACCAATGGTTACAGTTTTAATTCTCCGGCGGAGTTAACATGTGCCGGCAAATTTTTCTGGCTCCACCGCCGATCTCTCTCTCCGTTGGGTTTTTGATTGCAGAGACGACAGTAGTCTAACATGCGCGGCAGGTGTTCGAATGTTCGAGAGGACTGTGGAGTTAGAACTTGGTCGAGACTGTTCTGGCGGGAAATGGAAGTGGCGGGAATTATTTGGTTTTCAAAGAAAAGAAATGATTGCTAAATTGCGCAGCGACCTCAACCACGTGATGAGAATATACCCATGTGACAGCCCCATTACAGTATATTGATAATCAACGTAAAAATACGCAAAATCTTCATAAATTCTTAGAATGTAATGATTGAAGTGTGAGCATATTACTGATTTAAAATCAAATATTGTTAAGAAATAAATTTTACTCTTAATTTAGCTTATAAGGTTAGTTAATAAGATGAATATTGTTCAAAGTCATATAACGAGGCAATAGTTTATTAATTCAATAAATTTTAGGATTCTAACACCTCCCATTGACTAGAATTTGAAGCATAAATAATATAACATGAGCTGTAATATTACGTAAAAAAAATTAAAAATATTAATAAATAAAATTTATGCCGAACTCAACCTAAAAATTAGGTCAATAGATGACAATTGCTCAAAATCGTAAAAGAAGGCAATTGTTTATTCTATCAATTAATGTAAAATTTTAACAAATGAGAAATTATTTTTAAACTTAACAAAACATAATATACAAAGAATCAATAATTTGTATACCAAACTAATTTGAATTAAATCAGTTTCTCACTTTGGTTCAAGTTTAATGGTTAGCTAACCGTTATTTATCGTTTAGTATTTAAATGAAATCAACTTAAATAGTACGAAATGAATATAAAATAGACTTAAAAATTGCAGCAATTTCAATTCTTGAAGTTTTAAAAATTGTATCGAAATAGAACGTAGCAAATGATATCAAATATTTTATAATGATAACGTAGAATAATTCCATGGTATAGTGTCAGTGTGGGTTGAAATGCACAAATACGACGTCGTTGAATCCTATCTTCATCTCCGGAACATTGAGATGATTCTGAAACGTAAAATTCAACACCTTAACCACATAGGCGGAAGCAGTGTAATAGAGGAATAGAACACAAATGGCGACCATTTCTACTGCATCGCTTAGCACGGACAGATTATTATCATTATCTATAGTTTCTCCACCACCTTCAAATTTTTCAAGATTCTTTCTTCCAAGTCCTTTACTTTTCTCCAAATTCCGTTCACGTCCCTCTCCTCTTACTTCATCTTCACCGTCAAGGACAACGGTGGCATGTTCCAAGTCTTCCGAAGAAGCAGAAGTGTCACAGACAGTGGACGAATGGCTTCAGAAACTGCCCGATAAGAAGAAGGCTTTGTACTCTCATAGTTTGCCCTGCATAGAAGCTTGGTTGAGGAGTTTGGGGTTTTATCAGAGTAGAGATGATAGAGCACTTTGGTTTGTTGAAAAGCCAGATTGGCATGCTCACTTGTCACTTGATATCACTGACCTCTATATAAGGTTAGTATTTAGTATTCCCTCCGTTCCACTTTGTTTGGCACTATTTCCTACTTACTAATCCCTTCCAAAAAGAATGACACATTTTAAAATTTCCTTAATGAGAAGTTGTTATAGCCACACGACTGTTATGGCATATTTAGATCACAATTTCAAAAGTCTTTATTTATTTTTTAAGCTTCGTGCCGAGTCACCAAACAAATTGAAACGGACGGAGTATCATTTGATGAACAGTTTAGGATTAAAGGTCTTATTCTTAATATGTTTACATTAGTTTAAAGTTAGCTATTTTATGTGTTTCTTGTATTAGAATGAAATGGACCTAATTGGAGCAGAATGTGTATGGAGGATTAGTATGGTTGAATTCAACTATGGTTTAGTTGATTGAGTGATTGATAGGATGTTTCTCTGTTTTTAGGGTACTGGAACAAGATTACAGTTTATGGTGTGAAATTCATGATCAAGAGGTTAACTTGAAAAGGGCTTATTTATTAATAAGACAGTTTATGACAAAGATCATATTTTTAATGTCTTGTTTGGTTAAATTTAGCTACTTTACGCATGTCATGTGGAATGAAATGGGCCTAATGGGAGAAGAATGTGAATGGAGGATTCATGTAGCCGAACCCATCTAAGGCTTAGTTAATTGAGTGATGTATACTAATGTTTTGTGATTCTAGGGTACTGGAACACGAAAGAGATTACGGTGTGAAATTCTTGATGGAGAGGTTAACTTGAAAAAGGTCCATTTAATAATAGGATTGGGTCTTATTAATGTGGGTCAGTTGCTTTCTTATCCGTCAGCTTGTGCTGTTTATAACTAAAAGTTGGAGTTTGAAGAGGTTAAGTCTGCTTAGATTTGGTTTTACCAAAAAGGGTTGTTTGGTTGATTAGTCATAGCTCATAAGGAAATTCCATATATAGGCTATACATTTCGAATTGCAATCCATTGTTAAGCGTAAAGTATATACATTCGGGTTATATTTCAGAAAAGAATTGTACATATACTGAATAATGAACCCACTTTTGATAAGCAAGTCCATTTTAGGTTCATTGGGAACCAAATGTAATGCGTTTGATTCTCTCTAAGAGCATTCTTGATCCAAGTCAAGCAGGTTCCCACTTTGGAGCCTACTTTTTAAGGAAAATCAAGGGGGTTCATTGAGAATGAGAAGGGACGGTTCAGCGTTTGATTCCTCCTAAAAGCATCTTAACTCCGTTTTACTCTTCTTTTTCCGTATCTTAAGTAGAGCTCTGAAACATATCTTTTTAATATTCAACGTGTTTTAGTAACCTAGAGTTTACTCAAGTATATTTGGTTTGGATTAAGTTGAAATCGTTGCCTTTAAGCTTTTAATTTGGAAGTTATATTAGCTGTGTAGTTAATAGATTATAAGTGAAATTGTTACTACCCTAGAGTTTATTTAAGAAGATTTTTTTCAGATCCAAAATGCAATTGTTTCGTAACTAGAGTTAATTTACATTATTTATTTGGTTAAAATAATTGCTTTTAAGTACTTTAGATATTTATGTTATGATGTAGGTTTAGATTATTTATGTAGTTTTAGAATAACTGATATTACTACTTACCTAGAGTTGATGTAAGTATTTTTCATTTAGATAATTAAGGAAAATTTTGACTTACCAACACGGAGTTGATCTAACTTATGTATAAAGTGATTTTACTATCAGATTAAAATACATTGTTAGAGACAGAACTTTTAAGCTGAAAAAAAAAGTGCTACCACTAGATGATGTTATCTTGAGGCTTTTTCATGAAAAGGGAAAAAATACAATATATACCCATTTAATGTGCCAGTATGGATGGACCTCCTATACTGTTGGCTTCAACTATGGTTTTTGGTCAAAATCCTGCATACACCACAACATGGTTTCCCTTCCCNTTTCTGCTTCTGTGTTTAGAAAGAGAATTTTTTTGATATGTTATCTATTGCTATGTGTTATGCCTTGCTTGTGGTGAGACCCTGAGGGGAATAGATATGTCCTTTTGATGTTACAAGTGTGACGCCATCTTAGAAAGGAAAAAAAACTCCCGATTGTGGCCTTTCAGTTGTTAAGTTCATGAAAAAAAAGTCTGGCAGATATCTCTTTGAGTTGCCCCAGGCCTTTGGTCTGGTTGTAAGAGCTCATTGATGTGTGGGGTAAGGCGCATGTTATGAGTTTTTGATTGCATAGTTCAAAGAATATTGCATCACCAGTTTGAACTTCGATCCAATACAGGCTGAATGTTTCTTGAAACACAGGTATCTAAAGAGTGGACCTGGTAATCTTGAGAAAGATGTAGAGAGAAGATTCAGCTATGCACTGAGTAGGGAAGATATTGAAAATGCCATACTTGGAGGTCCATAAGGATAAAGATTTCACGTGCGGATGTCAGTTACCTGCGGTGCTGTCCGTCTCAATTCCAAGCAACTCTAATGATTAATTTTTCCCAATAACTCATATAGATACAGATACAGTGGGATCTTAAAATTTTTTAGGAGGGACTTTTTAGAGAGAGATTGTGGGGTTGGATTAAGTTTGTGTCATGATAATTTATAGAAACATTATTCACTTTCATAAATTACCTGGCTGATGCTCATCCACTTCTTTTGATGTTTGTCGTTCAGAATATAATTGATTAGAACAGGATTTTAGGCTAGTTCGCATACTGTTGGTAGACAACTATTCATATGGTTGGAACTCAGGGGTTCTTTTCTTCCTCTTTCTTATGGTTTTATAAGTTGGTTCTCCCACTTAATTGTAGAGTTCCTCTATGCTATTTTAACGAACCAGTGAAAGCTTTGCCAGAAAGTGTTTTTCTTTTTTTCACTTCAAAGTTCGAAGATCAAAGTTGGTCTACTGATACAAGTGGTAAGACCGATAAATCAGCATCCAAGACCTGGCTGATGACTACTTCCAATTCAGGTTGCATCTATAGTAGCTTATGAAGTTGTTTGGATCACCATTCCTATTCTCGTTACTAAAGCAGGTTTTAGTATGAATAGCATTGTTACAGAGAACCAAAGACTTTTTTTCCAAGTGCTGAGAAATTTACCGTTCCATTGTTTTTCGGTACTGTCGTTTTCTGATGCAGCACTGAAGTTTTACTGCCAAGTTTAGGCAATCATATGCAGAATCTTATTAAATATTTTCATTTTGCCAAACTCCGTTCAAACTGGTTGACAGCAAAACTGGTCCTATAGAGGATGTAGTACAGATTTTACCAATAAAATGTTTCTCGTCACCTAGTATTACTAGTTCACTCACGAGGAATCTCCTTCCTTTCAACCAATTGACTATGACATTGCTAGCCCTTCATCCTTAATGATGATGGAGAAATGCTACGGCTTATTAGTTGACAATAGTAGCATAACTGTGTCATGTCATTTTGAGAATTCTTTATCTGGAAATAAGGAAGAGAAACAAGACCATTTTGTGTGCCTATAACACAAAGTCTGAAGTTTGCTGAGGTAGCAAAGAACTTCATTTATACTGGTGGAAGATATACATCTGTGAACATAGACATAAATTACAGTTATACGGGCTCACTACCTCCCAAGCTGCACTGGCATGTTAAACAATAGAATTCGGAGCACTAGCTCTTTTACTTCTTTAATACCCC